ACTGCCAACTCCACCTCCCTTTCAGACTATTAGTTGAAATGAAATACCATTTTCCGAGATCACTCTTTTCCATGTTAATTGAATTTGCCAGGATTTACCTATTTGGACAAAAAAAATCACAATGTGAACCAATAGCTTCATATTTGTTATTATGTGATCTACAATGCTGATCACATTCAGATAGTCTTGACTTGGGTAATGTTGTAAAAATAGTACAGCTTGGACCGCTCTCTGGCACCCTCAGAATTTGCCGAACCAGAGAATTTCCGAAGCATAGGAGGTCGATATTGTCTAGCCGCATTACCAACACTTCCACTGCTTACTGGGTTCTTAGAAGACACTTAGGGGTAAATTAGAGCTAATTCACAGCACAGGCCACTGAGCGCCAGGCCTGGTGGCTGTAAATAAACTTTATGGGACCAGGGGAAATTTGGCCACACCCATGATAAGTGAACATCTGGCTAACTAAAATCATACCAGACCATGGATGTTGCCGGACTAGAGAGGTTAAACATGGGGACTAATTGTATATAGGAGACCCTCACAATTCATGGGATCACTATTCCCGGTTCTGCGTATTGGCCAGAGTCTCCTGCCTGGACTGGGAGAGGGGACGATGGTGGGGGATGGGAGCTATGGGGAACTCGCCCCATTACTGGCACCTGCGGTGAGTTCCCGGTGGCTTCCCAGACCTGTGTTGAGTTCCCTGCCGCTGTCCGAAACCGTGGGGAACTCACTGCAGCTGCCCAGAGCTGCCCGGAATTCCCCACGGCCCCTGACCCCCGCAGCGAGCAGCTCCTGACCCCTGCGTTGAGTTCAGGAGCAGCAGGGAGGTCATTGTGGGGACTGGAAGCCGCGGCTCCGAGTATTCACAAATGTTGCCATTTGCAGTGGTGCCAGGAGTCCTCCACCACGACTGGCAAAGGGTTCCTGTAAATGCCCAGCACAAAAGCCAAGCTAAGATAACAATGCGCCCTTGAAAGCCCTGTGTAATGTCGCTTTTGTGTAGACAGCCCAAACAGTGGGTGCAAAAAACCTCTTAGTCTCCTATTATCTTCAACAGCTGCTGGGGGCTAGGAATGGAGGCTTATTTCTATGTACTACGCTGCTGATTTCTAAATGATGGCCCAGTGGTTCATGTAGTGTAAAGGGGCATTGCTGTGGGCACGAATGACCCTTGCGCTCACTTTTCGGCTCTTGCCTGTTGCCAGCGTGGTACATTAAAATTGGACCCCATTACAAACGTGTCACCACTTCTGGAGTGGAACGTAACAGCTGTTTATAAGTGAAAAGCAAAAGGGCAGCACAACATAGGATGGAAGGGGAAGGAAGACATGTCAAACTGGAAGTACAGGAGGGAGATAATGACATCATCTCCTTTTTCCAATGTCAAGGGCTACAGGTTTCTTGGATGAGGTAAATTGCCTCAAGCCTAGACCTATTTTACAGATAGAGAAACTGAGCCATGGGAAGCAAAGTGACTCACCCAAGCTCACCCCGCAGGCCAGTGGCAGAGACAGAAACACAATCCAGTTCTGTGTCCTAGTCTAGTGCTCTACCTACTAAACTACGCTGCCTCTTCTGTGGCAGACCATTGCTGGCTTTGTGACTTTTACAGTGAGCCTCACAGGAGTGGGAGTGAAACACCAGAGTGAGGGGAATATGCCAGAATTTCAGCTTTCCTTGACAAAATAGTAAGTTTCTATCCTTTGTGGGTGCAGAGGAGGAGCGTGTAAACAGGAGCCCCAAAGGCTAGACAGGCAAGGGAAAAATCACCCCTGTATTCTATTCCAAAGCTCACCGTTTTTAAGACAATCTCATGATTTTGGGGGCCTGCTCTTATAACCCCTTTTCCCAGTGGGGTAACAGCTTGAGGACTGAAGCTATGGCTAAGGGACCTATAGGCCCGCCTACTCGGCATATTTAACTGCTATGCTATCCTGGCAGAAGTATGCTGCCAAGCTGTGCTGGAGAGATTGCAGGAGAGATGGGTCTGAACTCGCACACTGCCTGTCTTTCTGTCCTATGGACCAGCCACCTGTTTCTCCTGACAGCTGGGTACTCCACGGTGAACCCTAGAATTATCCTCACAGCTCCACAAGGTAAGATTCAAACGGCAGCTGCCTGCCTGAGCCTTGCACTGCTTCACAGGAACCTTGAAATCTACAAAGTGTGTGTGTACTTGACAGACACAGGGAGACTATCCCTGTTGGTGTAACAGTCTCTTTCTTTTCTCTGTGTCATGTCGCTTTGGGGGGCTTAGTCTTGATTCATTTTGGCCTCTCGCAGGGAGATTGAGGTTGTGCTATAGGAAAAGGACCTGGCCATTTTCTGATGTGTGTTAAGATCTTTCTCCCCCTTGTTCAGTTTCTTCATTTTCATAGAGGTGCCTTCTTTTTCTTGACCTTTCCGTGGTTTTTTATTTCAACCCCTTTCTAAACGCCACAAATAGAATTTAAGACGGCTGTTAATACCCAGTCCCTGTGGAGACGTTGTAGGAGATACTGTCCCTGCTGCAACACACACACTGAGCAGCTGAAAAGCCATGTCAAACAGTTATCTTTCTATGTGTTAGAGTGACTTGGCCGGCTGTCTCTGCGCTAGTTATGCGGAACATTTAGTCCTTCAGTCTCCTGGAGCAGGAACTGAGCTCTGAGGCAAGACAAATCCCTTAATACAAAGGATCCATGTTGCAGAGGAGGAAGTGTATGCAAAGTGCCCGAGGGATCCATATGAATGTATAGAGTAAAATAGCTTTTATGGATGTCTCTTCCCTCCATGCCCCAGCTGCCTGGTTAACGTCGCATAGGAAGGCATTAACAGAAGGCGCAGTGGTGTTTCTGACTGAGATGTTATTCCGCGCTATTTGTCTGAATCACGCAGACAGCTGGGCTCGAATGCTCTTGTCAGCCGGTGTGACAAGTAGCTTGTCGGTAAAGGATCTTTTGTCCCCTTTGTTGAGGGCACATTCGCCCCCAGCTCTGGCCCAGCTTGGCTGCTGTTCTTCAGCCGTGCGGCTCGGAAGCAGCTGCTCAGGGCGTTGGGAGCAGGTGGGGAATATTGAGGCCTCAGAGCGATATTCATCGCTCTGGAGGTAGTGAGACAAAGGTAATCCAGGGCAGAGCTGATGCTGTCATCCTCTCTTTGTGTGTCTGTAAATAATGCAGACCAATGATACAAGGAGATGAGGACATAGATCCCTGGCAGGGATTGTCTGAGGCAGTGAGTGTTGAAGGGATGAATAATTTCCATGGAATCCCCTCTTAGGAAAAAACCATCAGATCACCTGCTTTTGGCTACACGTGAGGGGGAAACACCCCTTTCCGAGGGAGCGTGCCCCAGTGGGAAGAGCAGCAATCTGGCTTCTCTGGCACCTGTTTCTCTCTGGCCGTGCCCCCTGCTGCTTGTCATGCTGTTGTTTATCCTCTCGGAGTCTTCCTCCGTGTGCCCCGAGATGGGCTCCCTGGCATGCGACGCAGGGCAACACGGCTTTGGAGCGCATTCGCGAGACGGGCGATTGTTAGCGCTTTTCCTTCAAGCCGCTGCTCCTGCAAGGTGCTGATTAGCTGCTTTGGTTCAACTTTCTAGCCCTCCCGGCCTTGGAAAAAATCCACAGCATTTGGCCTAAGACCCTGAAGGCTCAGATGTAGGAGGCAAAGGAAACGGACCCTGATGTTTCCTGTTGTTTCAAATCTCAGGATTTTTTTATGCCAATCTTAGGATTTTTTGGGGACTTGATTCCTGGTGGCAGTGGGGTGGGGGGGAACAAGACCCAATATGTTGAGCCGATCACTCTTGGGTGGAATCTTTGTCAGGGCTGGCCCACAACATTTTGGCACCTGAGGCGGGGAGCTCAAATGATGCTCCCATACCCCCTCGCTTGGGTCTCAATTCTGCCTTCTTCCTGTTCTACTCCTCTCATGGGACTGCTCTGCTACCTACACCAGCAGCCAACACAATTTTCTACACTCTGGGTCCTAGTGGCGCCCCCCCCACAGTCAGGCACCTGAGGTAGCCACCTCAGTTCGCCACATGGGAGGGCCAGCCCTGAGCTTTGTGCTACTAAAGCCAGCCCGGAGGAAAGCGCCTCAGGCAAAACCATAATCCAGGCTTTATTTTCCCTTCCCCGGCTGGTGTCACTGGCTCAGCGTCTCTCTTCCAGAGCGATGACCCCATGTCAGGCTGGAGACGGGGCCCCTTCCTCGCCAAAGGGGGCTTGGAGGTTCCCAAAGGCGGCGTAAGTTTGGGGGGTGAAGAAAACTGCTTTGCCCAATGTTGCTGCACATGAGGGGAGGCATGAACATGCCTGAAATGGAGCAGCAACATCCGGCTGCGCATGGGCCACCCGTGTGGGCACCACAGCGTGACTCTATTTCTCAGCCTTCAGAAAAACACAAGAACCCCAAAGCAGAGAGAGGAAAACAGGCAGCTCCCCAAGGCAGAGAGGCCCCGTTCAGCTGGCTTGCTCCAATACTGATCATGTCATTTCAGACAAAGGCCCTTAGCCAGCCAGGATGCTCAGACCTTCCCTTCCCCCAGCATTTCCAATGCATCCTCGATACAGCTCCGTTTCCAGGCATGGGCTGCTCGCTACGGATGTCGAGTATCAATTAATTGACTAATCGAATAGGCGATGCATTTTGCATCGCCTAGTCAATAGGGCGCCTCCGCCTTTGAAGTTGCTAGGACTGTTGCTACACTTCAAAGATGAAAGCGTGGAGCCCAGGATCAGCTGGGGATTCCTCTCCCCCCGCCCCTTGCTGCCTCTATCTGCAAAGCCACCCTCTGTGGGGTAGCGCTCCCCAGCCCGGTGCTGTAAAGAGAGATGGGACCTGTAGTATAGAAACTGGATAGGTAACCCTTTAAATAGCTCCAGGGCTGTCCAGCAGCCCTGCCTGACTCTAGTGAAGACTAGCCGAGGGATCTGACAGAGGTGCCGCCTGGCACTGTGTAAATGCAGGGATTTGGGGACCCAGCTGGGTACTTGCTCCTCCTCAGTTGCAGCTTCGCATGGGGGGCGGGCAAGTCCAGATCTGGACCCAAAGCTCGTTGGGCTCGTTTCTACTTGCAAGGGTTTTCCAGCTCCCTCCAAAGCCCGTGCGGAAGCGAGGCCCAGGTGGTCCGTGGGCGACTGGCACGGCACATTTCTCGCGCAGATACGGGAAGTTGTGGAACTGTGGAGTGTCGCAAACCAGCCTCCCAATCAGAGTCGGAGGCCCGGTTACTCCCCCGCTCGGTGCAGAAGGAAGTGTCTGCAGGCTGGGACACTGTGGTCCCTGGCTTTGCTTGCAGAGCTAAAGGCCGCAGTGCCAGGCTATGCTTTAGGGTTAGGAGCATTTGGCTCCCATGCTGAGCCCCGGCGTGTCAGATCCGACACGGCTTAGAGGCCAGTGTGACTTCAGGCGCCACCCGCGGAGGAGGGAGATGCCTCATCTGCCAGGCATTCTGGCCTGCATGCTTCCGAGGCAGGCGCTGTCTGGAGAGAGAGCCAAGGGGAGAGGTGCAAAGGGTGCACAATGGGTTGTTGCTGCTTAGGGCAGGGGGTTGGACTCGATGACTCCTGAGGGCTCTGCCCGCCCTAGGCTCCTATGATTCGGAGGGCTGCTGGCCAGCGGTCCCCGAGGGCTGACCCAGGTGGGAGACGGGGGCTGGGGAGAGCAGAGCCGGCCACGCTAATGCATTATGGCAGCAGGTGTCAGGAAAGGCCCAACTGTATGCCACTGTTCAGCCACTACGTGGCGCTGCGTGTCAAATGCCCCTACGGAAGCTACCCCAGCCACGTGGGGCAGGACGGGCTGAGGGGCAGGTGTGTATCTCGCTGAGAGGGGATCTCCCTGGCACGACTGTTGGCAGCGCACTGGGGTCTGGCCCCCACGTCGCCAGGATCCCCCGACTCCCAGTTAGCAATAAGGGAAGGGTAGGTGGGTGTGGCTGCAGACACCTGTTTATGACCCCTATGTCTCCCCACGTCTCAACCTGGGCGTAGTTTGGGGGTGTTACTCCCCTCGCTGCAAGCCTCGGGCAGGTGCGGGGCAGCACTGCAGATCAGCTTCCCTATCGTGAAGCTCAGCCCCTGCCCGAGGCTTGCAGGGGGCAAGGCTGCCTCCGCCCCCAAACTCTGCCCCTGTTAAAAAGTGAGGGGATGGCCCCTTAGCCCCTCTAGTTCCAGCCCAGAGGATGGTTAGTCTCTGCTTGGCTTCCCGATGGCGGGAGTGAAAGGCCGACACGTGCGTCTCTGCCTGAGGTTTGACAGGCAGCTGGTTCGAATGAGGATATGCTGAAAGGTTGCCCCGGGCAGGCGTCAGTCTGCTCTCAACAGTGGCCACGTTTTTCTCCTGTGCCATGCTGCCTAGCTCATCGGCGTCTGTAAGCCTCTGCACGTTGCTCTGTATGCGCAAGTCATCGGTGTACAGGTTGAAGTGGAGCAGTACTAGCACACTGCCCGGGGGGGGCGGCGCGTCGGGGATGCCCCTGATCCTGCCCCCCCCCCCCCATAGCAGCAAGATGAGACTCCGCCAGCCCGTAGAACAGAGAGGGCTTATTGCTTCTCCAGGGTACAGCGCAGCCTAGACGTGTGTGGACGTAAGGAGTCGGGCTGGCAGCCCTAGACCCCTTGGGGTAGGGGTGCCTGGGCTGCTCAACCCCCAGAACTCTGCTTAGTTTCTTCCCTTCATGGTTTTCCTGCAAAAAACTGCCCGGCTCCCAGGCCCTGCCCCCTAGCCAGGTGGCCGTCTCCGCCTCCCCTCCTTTGTGTCTCCCCCTGGGAAGAGGCTTGTTATCTGCTCAGGCTGGGACTCGGTGTCTGGGTCATTCCACACGTGGGTGAGTCAGTGGGAACCGCACCTCGCAGCGCAGGGGAACCCCTGGCTACAGAGCAGACAGCCCCCCACTACGTCCCGGGGGCGGGGCATGTTGCTTGCACAGCTCTCCGTGAAGCCGTCTCTTGGCCAGGCGAGATCGGCTGAGCTGCGGGGTGGGTGGCCGTCCCCTCGGAGACTCTGGCGAGCTGGTTTTGGTGGCTCCCTGGATGATACGCTGCTGACAGGTCCACAAACCCAGCGCGCTTGTCGCTTTCTGTGGGGCAGTGGCCCCCCTCCCTCCA